CCCCAAAACCCCAAAACCCCAAAACCCCTATAAAGAAGCCTTTGATTGTTCTTTAATAATTTATTAAATTAAAATATGGAGGAAATTGATACTCCTGAGGGAGGTTTAAAGTAAGGACTTTGACATTTCTATAGAGAATTAAAAAGACATTTGATTCAGGAAGAGCAATCATTAAGCTTGAGTGTTGAAGAAAAGGAGGAAGAGCCATCTGATGCAGAAGTTGATAATTCAATGTATGCCAGTCCTTGGCAGGTAATCTTTGATTCACTTACGCAGAATTAGATTTTCAAATTTAATATGAGAGATTTTAGTGGGTCCCTCTCTCAATTCTTGCAGCCATAGTATTTGCATCAGGAAATGCAATAGTAAGCTCCCTAACAAAGTTTACATACCGAACCAGAGTAATTCAAGCACCAGGAAGTGTTTTATGATGCAGTCTTCTTCTCACGATGGTCTCAATATTTGATCATCGTAGAGGAAAGCCCAACTGGTTTAAAAGGCTGTATTTCGAGCATCCTCATCATAGTTTAAAGAGTCAGAGGTTTCGGTATCCAAGAGTGGCTCTAACAGTTGGTTGTGTGATTGTTCTTCCCATTCAATTCTATGCATTTACAATGAGTTATTTCTACGCGAACAAAGCTGGAATGAACAATGGGATTATCATGGCAATATACACTCTCAAGCCAATATTTAATGCTATTGCTTTCAGATTCTTATACCACCAAAAATTGAGATATTTTGAAATTATTGGGATTATATTGTGCACAGTTTCTATTCTTCTTATTGGTCTTTCACAACAATCAGATAATGAAGGACACAAGAAACACTATATGTTTCTCTCCATGGGACTTATGTTAATATCTGCTTTCTTGGAAGCTTTAATTAGCATCGTCGCAAAATATTTCTTAGCTTTCAAAGACAACAAAGCAAACGTGTCTTCTTTTTATTCTTTCTTTATTGGAATAATTGACAGCATCTGTGTCATCATCCTCATTGTTCTATTAAATACAGGATTGGATATTACTTGGAAAGAGATCGGTCTTGCCCAAGCATCAAGTATTCTGTATGCATTCGGTCAATTCATAATGGCCTTTGCTATCCTAAAAGGCAAAGGGGGAACTGCAAGTGCTTTGATAGAAACTGTGGGAGTATATCAAACAATCATTGAAGCTGTCGTTTATTCAAGGTTCCCAAATATCTGGCAAATTCTTGGGATGGTATGAGCATTTTCAGCATCTATCATGATAGTTCTTGGATATCATTTCTCAAGAAAACAATCGAGTGGTTAAAAAGATTCTATTTGATATTCTCAATAAAAAACAATTAAAAAGGGGTTTTGGGGTTTTGGGGTTTTGGGG